ATTTTTCTTTTTTTTTTTCTAATAAATATTAATGCTTGGCAACCGAGGTCGTCAAGTAGATAGATAGAGTGCACTTAAATCCTGCCTCCCACTAAGCTGCCTTAATAGGTAATAATGATATGTGTGGCATGTGTATGACATTTATCAATATATTATGAGTTGGAGTTAGTATGTAGTGCTTCCAAGGCGCTACAGCACGTCATATTTGCCAAGCATTCTGCCCAAATGCACGTCATATTTGCCAAGCATTGTGCCCATCTTTTCAACTTGTCAAATGTTGTAATATTATTTAATTTGACACAATTTCACGTCAAAACTAAAAATATTGGGTACTATTTTCATAAGAACTAGTTTTAATTGTTCTTTAAAGAGCTTCAAACAAGAAATGTACGATATCGCTAATAAGGCATAAAATAAGGTTAAAAAAAATTAAATACATCGTTGTTTAAAATAAAAAAGATACATAAAATTCTGAGTGTCCGGTTAATTTTGCACTCCAGTGTATTTTCAAAGATGGCTGACTTCCGGTTTTACCAGAGGTCGACTGTAACTTTGTTATTTTAAATTAAACACCCTTTATATTAATATATTTTTGAAATCTACGTTAAATTTAAGAATACTTTTGTTTAATTTTTACCCTATATAATTATTCAATACTCTTTTCAGGAACTTTACTCCAAAAAAAAATGGAAAAATATTAGAGATCGATATTCAAGAGAGGTACAGGGAAGAAAAGGCAAATCTGGACAAGCAGTTAGAAAAAAAACACCATACATGTATACATAGCAGCTATCATTTCTGGACTACACAATGAAAAATCGTCGTACTACTAATTCAATGGACAAAAATGATGAAGAATCGCAGGAAGTTAACAATCCTGAAGAGATTTCTATTCCACTGTCATCACGCAGAAACGTATCCACTGATGATACATCAAGTAGTACTATACTAAACGATACTAAAAAGTGATGAAACTAGCGACAACGTTGTATTTTGATGCTTCCTGCATTACTTTTGTGAACCGCTTCGTGTGTTTTGGCAGAGGCGGCCAGCCGAGTCGGCGGCCGTCTCGGCGAAAACAGCCGTGTGTCTTTAGTCTTAATAAAGATGTGATATACCTCGCTTGTTGTCATCAAATCTTCCAAATAATTTTGAGAAACGTAACTAAAGTTGCTTGGCCCGTTTCGAATAGTCCAAACCCACCGATTTTTGCACATATGGGTTTTCCTCTTTTAAACCTTTCAATTTCAGTTTTAAATGCAAAATTTTGTGAAAGTTTTAACAAGGCATTTTTACCTGTTTCTATTTCGAAACGAGATAAGATACCCATTTTCCTATCCTTACGATTTTTACAATTGTAATAAAATCTAAAAAGATAAGATACAATTTTTAATAGTTTAGTGTAATTAGAATATTTATTTAAAATATCAACCTCAATTAAATGATTCGCTGCTAAACAGGATACTATATTTTTTGTTTCAGGTATCTCCAAGTTATTTGATGGATTTTTCGGCCAATCCTCTTCGTTTTTTAAGAATGAAGGGCCTTGCCACCAAAGCGAAGAATTTAATAATTTATCAGGATAAACACCTCTAGAAACTAAATCGGCTGGATTTTCCTGTGTGGGTACGTATTTCCATTCACAATTAACCGTTAATTCTTGTATTTCAGTAACTCGATTGGCTACGAAAGTGTTTAGGCGATTAGGTTCATATTTTGTCCAAGCAAGTACAATAGGCGAATCCCACCAAAATACTGTTTTATTAGGAAAAATATATAATGATTCTATTACTTTTTTATAACGTTTAGAAGCTGGTTGTATAAGAAGAAACGTTGATTCTATTAAAATATAAAACCGTAAACTGTTAACTTTGCATTTATCATTATCATGTAAAATACATTATTAAAATTCATTCCAGCTTAGATTGTTGTAGAGTAAACGTCAAATAAATAAAGTCTTTAATTTTCAAAAAGTAAATTTTTGTTTTTTAAAAAATTATTTTCGAGTGCTACTCGAAATACCTTCAGACCCAGACAAAATTTCCAGAATTATCAACAACCACCCAGACAAAACTATTAACAACATTTTTCAACCCAACAACTATTTCAAACAGATAACATAGATTTTGAAAATCCAGTTGAGAAAACAACATGACAAAAACAGAAATAATGTTCGTTCCATACAAAACCACAAGAGGACCCAGACTGACAGGAGACGGATAACAATTACAAATACAGAACCACATAACGTACCTAGGCCTCACCATAGACAACAAACTGACATGGATCGAACACATAAAATGAACAAGACAAAAAGCGACGGACATATCCAACAAACTATACGCAATAACAGGACGCACTTGGGGACGCAGACCAGACATATTGAGATTCATCTACGAACACGGAATAAAACCGATGATACTATACGGTTCAGAGCTATGGGGACAAAGACACAGAGACACACGTATAACAAGACACCTACACGCGACAGAACGACCATTTGTACTGAGGATCACAAAAGCATATAAAACGAGGCTGGTACTAGCCGGGGTACCTCCACTGGCATCGGACGCAGGGGCAAATCACTATACCTACAACACATTTCACATGGACATACAACAACACAGAACCAAAACTACTGACAAACCACATCCGGCACACAGGAAACTAAACATAGAACAACACGGACACATACCACTGTACACACAGACGCCAGTATCAAAAATAACAATAAAACAGTAGCACTTTCAATACAAACACAGGCACCAAAATAAAAGTGGAGACATACAAAGACATCAATACCCTGGAGACAATAGGGGTGACACAAGCCGTAAAGCACATAACAGACAACCACATACAGTTCATAGACCAAAACATACAAATCCTCACAGACTCAACAAACACAATAGCCTCGTTAGACAAAAACAACACAAGACATAAACTCATAACTGAAATACAAAGACTAACACACTCAATTAAACAACATAACATTAATATCACATTCGGGCACTCACACAGAACAACAGAAGGGATGAAAAAAGCACACAAACTGGCAAACGAGGCACACAACGAACATACACAAACAATACAATACAAAGACAAAACAGACATAAGAAAGAAAAAACATGACAAAACAAAGACACTTTGGCAAGACACAGGGACAAACAGAACCACAGGACGAACAACACACGACATCATAAAAACAGTAAGACACAAACACATACAAATTAACAGGAAAACAGTACAACTCTTAACAGGACATGGGAACGTTGAACGCGTATTTGAACAGATTCCACTTACAAGACACTGACGGCACTTGCGACATCGACGGACAAAATGAAGACACACGACACATAATCTACGACTGCAACGGACATGACAGACAAACAGCTAGGTCACGTTTCAGACAAAGACTGACGGACAAAGGACTCAACTACATACCACAAGACCTAGACATAACGGACAGCACACTGATGAACTGGACAAACGAATAGGCAGACAGACTCTTACAAGACGACGAACCAGGGATATAACCGCAAAAAGGTAAATATAACTGTGGTTTGTGAACTTGGATGACATAGCCACCCAAACCCGCACGAAAAAAGGGTAACTAACAAAATTACTAACAAAATTGTAAATATAGATGTAAGAAAATTTATTTTATTTTTTATTTTTGCTTTATTATCTTATGTTTTAATGCTTAAAAAAAACTGTTAACCTACTTGCTTTAGCACTAATTTTTAACTACTTTGCTCTTGCAACAAATGTGTTTTAAGGATAAATTTATTTTTTTTTATTTCTTGTTTTTGCTTGGAAAGCTAATTTCGCCCATATACCATGTTTTTACCTATACCAATGCTTGGGAAATTTCTAGCTATACTAACAAAACTGTAAAATCCTTCTAGGATATACTATAATACACTAACACAGTTTCTGTAAAAATTCATGTACTTGATAAGATCGTATCGATGTATGAAGATATCAACAAGGATCGTATTCTAATTTCTTATGATCTGTGCTCTATCGTTCTATCCTCTGTCTATCCTGTCAGTCAGCTGGGCTAAGTGAATCCCTGGAATTTAATATAAATAATCGTAAATATTTTTTCGTGTTTCGTGTCGCCGTAGCCCTTGATGATATTTTAATAATAAACTAATTATGCCTCCTTTAAAAAGCAATGTGTGGAATTTTTTTGTTAAAACTAATAGTGGCGGACAATGTAAGTTATGTTAGGTTGAAGTAAAAACCTCTGAAAATACTACAAATTTAAAAAAATATTTACTGAGAAGACATTCAAATATTTCAAGTGATGAAAAAAAGGAAAATAGGAAACCATATTACCGTGTTAAGCTTAAAGTACCTAACAACATTTTTTTCTTTTCACCACATTTGTAGATACGTTATTACATAAACGTAAATATTAATTTTTTTATAATTATAGTTATATTTTCGTGTTATAAGTAGCTAGTTTTTTTATGTAGTTAGGAGTGTTAGGATATCTAAAATAATTGTTTTTTTTTTTTATTTCTAATTTTTAGTTTTAAAAAGTATCTTTTGATTATGATGTAAGCCGCAACAATTGTACTGTGTATTTTGTGCGTTATTTTATATTGATCTTGTACATAATGATTTTTAAAATGGTGAATAAATGTTTTAACTAAAAAAAAATAATATGATGTCTGTCTTCAATTTATTACTACCTGTCAAACCCTAATAAAGTTTGAATAAGGCGTGTTCTTTTATACAGCGCTGGATCCAGCGCTTGCAGTAAACCGTCTGTAAATTAAGCGATGAAAAGACGATTGAAATGTGTCAATCGTCCTTTTTTTTCAGCGGTGGGTTCAGCAATGAGCCAATGCATCTATCTGCTTTAAAACCGATGGATGTGATGGATGAATGGAGGGGATGTGGCAAATGGTGCTGACACGCTGAAGGTATCACAACATAACCAAACATTTAACTCTTGCTTGCTTTTATGCATAGGTCTTTGTTTATATAAAATGGCTGAAGAAATTTTTACAATTAATTTAAATTATAACGGGCTTTATTTTAATGCCCAGGTAGACAGAGAAACGTTCTTGGAAGTTAATAAAGGTTAATAATACATCTAGATAAAGTGAACCCATACTTACTTTTTTTTTATTTTTAGACACTGAATTATTACAGCGGTACACGAAACAAATATACCAGCAATGTTTTCAACAAGGTAAATAGTAAATAAATACGAGTAGGATAATTAAAATATAAACTGCACATAGGCATTTCCTTTTTATAGAAATATTAACACGTCCACAGGTTTCATAATTTAATTTTTTTGGCAGTTGGTGTAGCTGATCTGGAACCTTCCTCTCCGTTAAAAGAAATTGAAGTTCCATCTGAAAATGTTTTAAGATGGAATGACAAATTAACCAAATTATTAATTAAAGAACGGTTGGTAATGGAGGCAGATTTGGCACATCCTAAATGCTGCAAAATAAAATTGTGGCAAGAACTTGCAAAAAAAATTAATAAAATATGTAATGTTTGAGCTACAGCTGATAATTGCAGCACAAAATATAGGAATTTGTTGGCTACCTATAGAATTAATAAAAGGAAACAGCAATCTACTGGTGAAAGTGCAATATTGTAGGATTTTTTCAACCAATTTGATAGTGTTTTAGGCACTAAAGTATCCAGTGGGATTCCACCAGCTGAAACTATAGGAAACAGCTTAGTTCAAAAATCAGCTGTAACCAGAGACAACCTAGTTGTCTCTGATGTAACAGAGGAAACGGAAAATAGTGCTGTACGCAAAATTACAATTGATAAAAAAAGAAAAAATACTGGTATGTCTTTCTAGACCTATTTAGCAGCAAAAATAAAAAAAGAGGATGCTAAAGAAAAACAAAAAGAAGTTCAGGAAAAGGAAAAGACGTTAAAAGAAGAACTTTTTTCTTCTTGGACCGAAAAAAAGAACTGAAGGAGGAAAAAGAAATAAATGCTATCTTAGTATTAGCAAAAGCAATTGCAGAGAAAAAAGAATGAGATCAAAAATTATTTGGGTGCATTTTTTATTTGTTTTTTTATGAGATATTTTGATGGATTTATGAACCTTTTTTGATAATTTGTTCAAGTTTTTTTTATGGTTGTTATATGTATTTTTTATTTTCAGAATGTATTATTTTATTATTTTTTTATTACCAGAATGTATTATTTTATTTTTTTATTACCAGAATGTATTATTTTATTTTTTTATTACCAAAATGTATTATTTTTTATTACCAGAATGTATTATTTTTTTTTATGAGAATTTATTTTAATAAAGTTATATTTGATTTTCCATGGACTATTAACCATCTTTTTACTTGCACCGAATGGTATATTTATAACTATTTTACTTTAATACATTTTTATTTCACTTAATACAGAATAGTTTACAATACTTAAAATGAAAAACTACGTATTTTTATACAGTGTGTCCCAAATAAGAGTGATCGATTTTAAATGTAAATGCACAGCTTATTAATTGCTCTAAAGAGATGGGGTTTTCACTAATTGATTTCGTTTACCCAAAAGTTTTTTTTTTCAAGTTTGTTCACATTTTATCACATCAGTACAGGGTGATCCACTAATGTTGGTCAACTTGAATGGAAAAAATATGTATTATTTTAAATGGAACACCCTGTATATTTTGATGGCATTCAAAAGAGAGATTCATCTACTTTTTAAAAATGTATAGTTTGATATCTTTTGTTTTCTTAACAACACAAATTTTCGAGTTTTTAAGTAACACTGCTGTTTTCTTTATTTAAAAACTGACATTAAATAAAATTAACAAAAAGAATTTATTCAGTAACAAAACAACAAAAATTTAATATAGATTACAAAACAATTATTAATAATGAAGGATCTAAAAGATACAACAAATGCTGTATGTGCCTATGTATACCCTATGCCTATGTAAATAAGGGATTAATACATTTCAAAAGTATTTTTTATTTTTCTTGCGAAAACAAAAGTGAAATGAAAATTAGTCTGAGTTCAAAATATTTTGTTTTTTCAAGAACAATCCATGGTCCAAAATGAAAAAGACTTCTTGGGGAATCTTTACCTGTCAACGACTGGGGATATTATAATCAATTAATTTTTTGTAATGATGATGAGGCTGGTCCAAGTAACATTTTGGGACAGCAAAAAGTGTACCTTGGTAAGACTTGATTTTTTGATAATTTTCTAGCCACAGGAGCCCAAAATAATATGTAGCTTAAAATGTGAAAGTGTATATTTTACAGATTTGGACTGTAGTATTCTGATAATGCAAACGATTCGCGGAAGTCAAATATACGACGATTCGTGTACAAACCTTGGGTGGAATATATTGTGTTTAAGCAGCGTTGTGTTTTATTCATTACCTCAACAACGATACTAAAGGTAAATTTTTATTTTGTTATCCTTTTCTACACGATAATTTATTACATATTAATACAATATAATATATTATATTAATTTATTTTAATTTGTTTGATATTCTTGCTTTCGTATATATTGTAAGTTTTAAATTTATTTGTGTGGCAGTGTAATCGGACGTGTAAATTAAGGTTAAACATTTTTGATATTGTTGCTGTTGTTAGTCCTGCTGATCCTTGTGCTGCTGGTGTTCGCTGCTACTAATTTTCGCTGCTACTGCTTCAGCTGCTTTCGCTATTAGTTGAGGTACGGATTCTTAGGGTCACCAATGTGGTATCTTTTAACTTTGGGGATCCCATCTTGTAAATAAAATAGCAGTTTGTAAGAGGATGTATATGAATATTATAAAATAGGTAATTCCATCATGACAGAAAAATATATAATAATGACATTTTTGTGTACATAAATATTAATGCTTGGCAACTGAGGTCGTCAAGTAGACAGATGGGGTGCGCTTAAATGTTTCCTCCCACTAAGCTGCCTCAAAAAGTAAGATTGATTTGTGTTGCATGTGTGTGATATGTATATCAATATATTATAAATTGGAGTTAGTATGTAGCTTCTAAGGCAAAATAAAAATTCGTACATAGATGAATTTTTTCATAGCTTACTTTAAAAATATTTTTTTTAAACCCCCTGTCTGCATGGTAAATTTGTGGATGTTATTTAAAAAAAACAACGTTTTAATTTTAAGGGATATAATAAATAATAAAAATACTACTGTTACGATCTGATTTCGCCCTAATGTTGTTAGCAACTAGTTTTGTTTATTCGACACCCCTCGTATATGCTAGTTTTGTTTTTAGTGACCTTCATTATGTTTGTATCTGAAATATGACCTACATACCCTATATTGGTGAGTGTTATTCTGCAAATTTAAATCAATAGTTCCCAATTTTTCAACGTACAGCTGTTGATAGGTTTCTGATTATTGTTGGCAACTTTTGTAGGCAAAGAATTACATTATTGACGTATTTAGAACATTTTGGCGGTGTCTTTCTGTGTCTTAATGTAGTTAAATATATATTTATGGTAGTGCATACCTTGTGAGAGTGACTGAGGGTGAATGTGGTCATTTGAAACTGTTTTTCTTCCCTATAGTGCTTAGGTGGATTTTCAGTTTTCAGCTTACGGCTGTCTGTAGGTTTCTTCGGGGCCTATGGTGGTGACTTGAGCGTTTCTGAGTGTGTTTATTATGTTTAAAACTTACTGTATTGTTATGGCTATGTGGTAGTGTCACTTGTGACCTATTACTTAGTCCAGATGTGAAACTTACCAGGTTTTAACCTAGGTTTCTTGATGTTTGAGGAGGTTACCTGTGAGCTGGTTTGATACATTTAAATACCCCATTTTTTGCTGTCAATGTACACCTCAGTACCCATCAGCGGGTAGAGTTTCAATATTACTTTCTTTTTAGTTAGTTTTTTCTACAATGTAAATGATTCCAGTTCGACAGAAGGTTATAAACTATTCAGTTTTTTTGATAGTCATGGAAATAGAAGCCATGCGAATACATCTAGAGTGACCCGAGGCTCTTGTGTTAATTAGATCCAGTCTCGTCAATAGTTGGATCGACGTGCCTATTTTTGTTTTCTTTTTTTCATCTGTAAGGCGTCGCCAACGCTTTATAGTTTCAGTTTGGTGAGAACTATATGCTCATCGAGGTCTTAGGATCTCTGGACTAGTCCTAAAATGTAATTATATAATGTATAATCTTGTAAAACTATTTTTTTTTATTGTTAATGACATTTGTCATACATTTATTTACCTTGTCGTTGAGTTGACGGACCAAATCGCTTCGCTAATTTATTTGCCTCGTTTATTGTAGTGTTCTGGGATATTATATTCAAAGTATTAAGTATTTTCCTTGTTAAAAAAGATAATGTTATTAGATTCTCGGCTATTATTTTGACGTTTATCAAACACTGACATTCGGCAGTTTTCTGTCAATGTTTAATGTCATTGTCAAAGGACGTTGACATTTGTGTTATTCAGTTACTTCTTCTTATCTTTTCTGGACTCTTGTTGAGGTAGGCATGTTATTCCGGAGGTTCGATGATGACGTACTTGCGCAGATTAGCGAATTATCAGTTTCCGGACTTGACGGTGAAGCCATTTTTGTCATGCGTGAATTCTGACCCAGCAAGCACGCAAAAGTTTTTCTGTGTAGTGAACCGGCTTTTCGACTTTTGAATAAGTTTTTTTGGTTTTAGAAAATCCAGGGATGTTGTAACTCCCAACTCAGTAGATGGGGATTATTTTTCTTTAACCTACATTTGTGGATGACCGTCGTATGGTTATTTGTTCTGGCGTTTAAAACTGGATTTGTTTTTTTTGAACAGTTTTTCATCCAACTCCCATGGTGGGATATATACTTTTTTTAAGTCGTAGCCAAGCCGATCACCTGTGATTTTTGAAGAAAACCCTTATTAGACTTAATGGGACCTTTGCCAAGATCAAATAAGGGTCATAGATTTATTCTTGCAGTTACAGATCTTTTTAGTAAATTTTCACTCACTTTTCCTCTTCTTTCGTCTAAAGCGCCTTTTGTCGTGAAAGCAATTGAAGAATATGTTTTTCTTATTTTTGGTGTCCCGCGCCTGCTGTTATGTGACAACGGTGTTCAGTTTACTTCCAAAATATTTGGTAACTTGATGGATAATTATGGAGTTGAGGTTAGATATAACGCCCTTTACCATCCGCAAGCTAACCCCACTGAACGTTTTAATCGTACCCTCAAAATCATGTTAGCTGCCTATGTTTCGGACAATCATAGACATTGGGACGTTAATCTAGCAAAGATCACTTGCGCTACGCGAACAGCTTTTCACGAATCGACTCATCAAAATCCGTACTTTGTTAATTTTGGTAGAAACATGATTTTGAATGGTAAGGATTTCGCTAGGAAGGGAAATTTAAGAGAACTTGATGACCCTAAAGTAGATTTGCCTAATATGGTTACTAAAGACTTAAGAGATTTATTTGTTGAGGTTCGGAAGAGGTTGGATAAAGCTTCTGCTAAAGGTGAAAAAACTTACAACCTGCGGAGACGCCGTGAAGAATTCTTGCCTCATCAGGCGGTTTGGAGACGTAATTTTGCTCTTTCGGATGCTTCCAAGTATTTTACCAGCAAGTTAGCTCCTAAATGGTTAGGCCCTTTTTATGTTAGGAAGAAAATCAATCCTTGGATGTACGTGTTGGAGGATGACAATGGAACTGATCGTGGAACATGGAGTATCAAAGATCTAAAGGTGGCAGCTGGGACAGATGAGTTGCTTAGCAGCTAGCGCTGCGGAAAATTTCTTGCTAAATTTTCTCTGGATGGGGGAGTGATGTTACGATCTGATTTCGCCCTAATGTTGTTAGCAACTAGTTTTGTTTATTCGACACCCCTCGTATATGCTAGTTTTGTTTTTAGTGACCTTCATTATGTTTGTATCTGAAATATGACCTACATACCCTATATTGGTGAGTGTTATTCTGCAAATTTAAATCAATAGTTCCCAATTTTTAAACGTACAGCTGTTGATAGGTTTCTGATTATTGTTGGCAACTTTTGTAGGCAAAGAATTACATTATTGACGTATTTAGAACATTTTGGCGGTGTCTTTCTGTGTCTTAATGTAGTTAAATATATATTTATGGTAGTGCATACCTTGTGAGAGTGACTGAGGGTGAATGTGGTCATTTGAAACTGTTTTTCTTCCCTATAGTGCTTAGGTGGATTTTCAGTTTTCAGCTTACGGCTGTCTGTAGGTTTCTTCGGGGCCTATGGTGGTGACTTGAGCGTTTCTGAGTGTGTTTATTATGTTTAAAACTTACTGTATTGTTATGGCTATGTGGTAGTGTCACTTGTGACCTATTACTTAGTCCAGATGTGAAACTTACCAGGTTTTAACCTAGGTTTCTTGATGTTTGAGGAGGTTACCTGTGAGCTGGTTTGATACATTTAAATACCCCATTTTTTGCTGTCAATGTACACCTCAGTACCCATCAGCGGGTAGAGTTTCAATATTACTTTCTTTTTAGTTAGTTTTTTCTACAATGTAAATGATTCCAGTTCGACAGAAGGTTATAAACTATTCAGTTTTTTTGATAGTCATGGAAATAGAAGCCATGCGAATACATCTAGAGTGACCCGAGGCTCTTGTGTTAATTAGATCCAGTCTCGTCAATAGTTGGATCGACGTGCCTATTTTTGTTTTCTTTTTTTCATCTGTAAGGCGTCGCCAACGCTTTATAGTTTCAGTTTGGTGAGAACTATATGCTCATCGAGGTCTTAGGATCTCTGGACTAGTCCTAAAATGTAATTATATAATGTATAATCTTGTAAAACTATTTTTTTTTATTGTTAATGACATTTGTCATACATTTATTTACCTTGTCGTTGAGTTGACGGACCAAATCGCTTCGCTAATTTATTTGCCTCGTTTATTGTAGTGTTCTGGGATATTATATTCAAAGTATTAAGTATTTTCCTTGTTAAAAAAGATAATGTTATTAGATTCTCGGCTATTATTTTGACGTTTATCAAACACTGACATTCGGCAGTTTTCTGTCAATGTTTAATGTCATTGTCAAAGGACGTTGACATTTGTGTTATTCAGTTACTTCTTCTTATCTTTTCTGGACTCTTGTTGAGGTAGGCATGTTATTCCGGAGGTTCGATGATGACGTACTTGCGCAGATTAGCGAATTATCAGTTTCCGGACTTGACGGTGAAGCCATTTTTGTCATGCGTGAATTCTGACCCAGCAAGCACGCAAAAGTTTTTCTGTGTAGTGAACCGGCTTTTCGACTTTTGAATAAGTTTTTTTGGTTTTAGAAAATCCAGGGATGTTGTAACTCCCAACTCAGTAGATGGGGATTATTTTTCTTTAACCTACATTTGTGGATGACCGTCGTATGGTTATTTGTTCTGGCGTTTAAAACTGGATTTGTTTTTTTTGAACAGTTTTTCATCCAACTCCCATGGTGGGATATATACTTTTTTTAAGTCGTAGCCAAGCCGATCACCTGTGATTTTTGAAGAAAACCCTTATTAGTAAGGGTTTTTATTATTGGAGTGCACAGTTAAACCCACTGTCCCAATTAGAACTTGTTTCTGGTGTTCCACCTTAGAGGGTGAAACTTCGAACTAGCTGAATTATAGCAGTCTGTAGAGGAGGCAGGTGTTTTTACCTTACATGGATTTGGAATGGTAGCAGGGACAAACTGTTGCTTACAGCAGTGACCAACGGGGGACACTGACTCCAAGAAGGAGGTTTTATTTACTTTATTTTTTTTTAATGAACATTTCTATTTAATCATTAATATTTTTGGGAAGGGGATTTTTTATATGTAATACAAGAGTATGTTACATAGGGATTTTATGGTCTTAAATTATTATTAAGTTGTAGTAAAAGTGTACGACTGAAATCAAGTTAACTTTGTATCGGTATTTAATTTTTACATTGTGCAGATAGCATTTAAAAGTCACTCATGCCTTTGGTACCAACGCCCATGACCCTGACATTTTTTGGTTACATTTTTAATTAAACGGTAGGGGATTTCTACCCCAGTAGTTACAGGTTTGATTTCTGTCCTAGGGACATCAACTTTAGTTTTAGATACAACATATTAATGTCATAACCACTCGTACATGACCATTTTTACTATATTTATTATATATTATTCATATCTATTTTGCGCCAACTACAACCTAGTTGTCAAGTATTGTATTTTGAGTCCAGGGGACTTTACTGTGTTTAATTAAGATATTTATGGGGATAACTACAACATAGTGAACATTTTTGGTCTAAAGATAGTAATTTGTATACACAAGGTGGTGTTAGTTACGACAGTAGTAAATGTTATAGACCAGGGTACATTTTTCTATATTATAGGTGTTTATTTCTTGATGACATATGTGTTTAGTTTGTTTTAATATTGAGGTTATTGTTAGGACTGTATTAAGGGTAAAGTCTGGGAACGTCTGTCAATTTATTTATACAGGGTGAAAGTATATCAATTTATTTATACAGGGTGAAAGTATAAAATTTATTAAAAAGGTATAGCAGGAGTTTTGTTGTCTCATTTCGTTCCTATTGTTTGATCGATTTAGGTAGGAGACAAGGAAGCATTTTATCTGGCAGTTAAACCGATCTGGCGCTCAAAAGAATAGAATCCTGTGAATTTTTGGTACTAAACGGACCACGCCTTCTCCACTCGAAGCGAAACCGGAGCCAGGGCTGTTCATCAGACAGTCGAAACTTTTGCATTACCTGAAAATCTTCGTGAGTCGGTAAATTGCCTCTGTAGGGTTATAGCAGTGGCAACCATTGGAAATTGAACGCGGACGACGTTCGTGCGAGGATTTGACGGTAACACTACAGACTTTTAATCATTTATTGATTAATAAAAATACAAACAAAAATTATACAGTCCACTATAATCTTAAACTTTTTAATCCTAAGTTAACTCCATCATCAGGATGAACATTAAAATGCTTTTTTGATAATTTCATGGGGATAAGTGTTTTCTTAATAGGTACTATTTCAAAACTTAGTAACAAATGAGCAAACAAGATCTTAGCTTCCATTAAAGCAAACCTTGAACCTATACAAACCCTCGGGCCCAACCCAAACGGAAAGTAGGTATTGGGATCAATTTTATCCTTATTTTCATCGCTGAATCTTTCTGGGTCAAAACGTTCAGGATCTGGGAAATATTTAGGATCGTAATGCATACAAATTATTGGCAGTTCCAGAAGAGTTCCCTTTTCAATTAATAGAGGTTTTTCGTCTGGTAATTCAGGTTCAATAACAAAGTCTTTAGTACAAACACGACTCATATTTGGAAAGTTAGGCCATTTTCTTAAACATTCTGAAATAGAAATAATTAAAATTATTGTATGATAAATATAATAAACAAAAATTATTAAATATATCTCCTGACAATTGCATTGTTCTAAGGTGGGTACAGCAAAAAATACCAAAACTGAAAATTAAACAAACTTTTTGTGGTACATAAAAAAGAGTTTTTAATAATACCAATTATTTAAATATATAACTATATTTTACTATGTTATTTACAATTATATAAATTTATAGCAGGTCAAAAAACGGAATCGTTGAGATTAGTTACAAACAACAATGAAATCATATATGTAAGGCTACGTCGCCAGCCACAAATGTAAAAGACATGTAATGTTAATTCTTGTTGAATGAAACTTCATATTGTTAAAATGAGAAAAACCAAATTTGATAGATTTACTATGTAATAGGAAGAGGTTAGGTTAGATTTTGGACTTCGCATGTAGTTCTTCCTTGATGATGTGATTTATGTTGTGTTCAGTTAAAATAAAGTGCTTCATAACTGGCCAGAACCCCTTACATACCAGTGTTTGGCTGTACCTATTAAGTCACTCACTTCAGCTTTGGATCGCAGTTAAAAATCGCCAAATAGCCAAATAGTAAACAGAACCCTAGCGCACCGGTAAACGTTTCCAGTTCGGCGCGCAGACGCATAAATATCGTACTGTCAATACGTCAACGGCAGGTGAGGGCCCCCCAAACCTGCGGTGCCGGCCAGTGAGTTAGTACACGTAACTATTGAGTATTTGCTACTAGTAATTAAACTAAATTAGTCAAACAAAATTCTAACGATAAATAAAACCAGTGCTGTGATCGCGATACATGACATCCTTCTTCGGGGTTCCGTGTCGGGTAAGTGAAAACTTCACGAGTTTCTAAGGCTGATTGTACGACAAGAATCAGCCTTTTTTATGGAAAGTGGTTTCTAGAAACTTTTTAAAAAATGTCAGACACCAATGGCGCTTCGGACTTAATAAAAGAGACCTCTGCCTCGATCACCGGCTGGATCGCCATTCTGCTACGTCAAAAACAAAAGAAGCGAACGAGACTCTTCCGATATGGAGTGTGATGAAACGGACAACGATGAAAAGCCAAAACATAAAAAACTAAGCATCACTGAGGAGAAGAGGTGTCTGAAATCATCAGAGCTATATAAACTGCAACAAAGGGAATTTACACGGCAACAAGTAGAGTAACGGCCGACAAAAAACTTGCATTTTCCAGACCCGAACAACAGGCTGTACGAACAAATATATCCGACATAAATAGCCACATCCAAAAGCTATTAGGCCTGCTCTACATACAGGAGAAAAAGGACAAGAAACCAAAAACCGCGACCGCGACATTAATCAACAGGATGTCGCAGGCAATATCCAAAAAACTAGAAAAGATAAACATTCAAAATATAAAAAAAAAATAAACATTCAAAATCCCACAGAGAGTGCAAAGACCCAACAAATCTTAGAAACTCCAGCATACCACAAACTCAAAGACACCCTCCAACCGTATGGAAGTCACCAGCAGTAGCCATTAAGCCAGTAAGCTTTGATACAGTAGTAAAAATGAAAGGAGACACAGGAGGCCCCATCGTGGAACTAAAAAAGATATAGACCGCAAATGACGTTGAGAAATATCAAATACGTAGAACACAAACGGCGGTGATAATAAATACTAAGACCAAAGAAGAACAAAACCAACTGTTATTAAAACTGGAAAACAAAGAAAAAATTTTAGCGAAAGATAACACCAGAACATAATTCCCTATGATCCTCATCACCGGAGTACAGAAGGGGAAAACGGAAGACGACACCCTAACAAATATACGTCAGGAAAATGAGGATCTGGAAGGATTATAAGGAGAACGCATAAACACAGAACTAAAGAAACTAGACGCAAGAAATTTTAGAAATATCTACAAGGAGAACATTATGTACGTTCCCGCAAGTAGGAACAATTGATAGCTTGATAGGCAGAGAAAAATAGGACTGTATGTCTTTCAAAATTGTTCTTTAAATATTAGTTAAAAAAATGAATAAAAAAGAATAAAACAGTTAAGAAAAAAAAAACGATTGAGACCAAATCACTTACCCAAACTACATCTAGGGGTGACGTGAGAGCTCTCCTTAATTCCGGTATTCAAGGGATGATCCAGGCTTTTTCCTACCATAGGTTTTTATTTTAATTTTACACAGGTTTTGTTCTAATTTTACTGATAAGAACGTTTTGAAGCACACATTTCAAGTTTACCGGTTCTCGAAGCGGTTAATTTCGTACTGACCTTTTCAAAGGACTTTTCTACAATCGTGATTCGGTCTCAAAAATACGCGTAAATATATTTTAATTAAAGACATTACAAAATTTCTTCGATTTGAATCTACTAATAGGCAACTAAAATTACACGTGACATTAATGAAGTTGTTTAATAAATTACCCCTCACAATGACAAATAAAAATTTGAAATGATTAGGATTCAACACATTATATTCACTGAACCTTTAGATATTATAAAAGAACTACCGAAAAAGGGATTCATATACATGGACCTAACGAAATATTATGTAGAAGAACATGTGTCAGTATCAAGGGAGAAAACGGAGAACACAAATATGATGGACAAGACAATTAGACGAGGAACGGAGAAAGAAAAACAAGTTTAGAAATACTTACCAAACAAAAAACGATAAACACGAAAGAGAACGTAGACTTGATTTATACAAAAGACAAAGACGAAACTACAAAAACAGTATCAAAAAAACCAAAATATAATCAATAAGTAACTTCATGACAAACAACGACCCCGACAACCCTTGGGACATTGCCTACAAAATAATCAGGACAAAAACAACACAAGACAGAACACTAAAACAATACAGAAAAGGACATGGACAGCAAATACAGAAGAAACAATATAACACCTCCACGACAAGTACTTCCCAACAGACAATATCGACCTAGACGAACTTCAGTAACCAAATACACAGAACGAGAGGCCGTTCACGATATACGAAATAGACATGACCATGACACCCATGAAAAATAAGAAAGCCACAACTCGAGACAACATCTCGAAAGAAGTCTTACTAATATTTAACAATCAAATCCCTAACACATTTTGCGACTTTTATAACAACTGCTTAAACACAGGATACTTCCCAAAGAGATGGAAAATGACTTGACATGGTCTAGCTACCAAAAAAAAAACACCTAACGACAAACTACCAATATGCCTACTTCCGACACTGGGTAAGGTTCTGGACAAAATGACAGCAATGCGACTCACACATCACCTAGAATCGACCAACAAAATTGACAACAGACAATACGGATTTAGAGAGGGCAGAACGACAACAGACGCAATACAAAACATAGTGGACAAAATAACACAAAACGACAACCAAAAGCCTCTCACTAGTCGCAACACTGGACATGAGCAACGGTTTCAACTCAGCCTGGACACCAATGATCAACAAAATACTTATAGACACACAAACACCGGCCAACATAACTAACCTATGCACTGACTTACAAAATCGACAAATACAAACACAAGTCAAAAGAGTTCTTTTTTCCAAATTAGAAAACTGAAACGCATGAGATTAGATTAGTCAGGAAGTTATCATAAAAATATGTCACAACATCTCAAAGCTTCCTATAAAATAACTTTTTTAATAGCGAAGCAAAAAACCTCCACACCATTGATGAAGAGTTGATCAAGCCATGTATATTAAAGGCCACACAAATAATGCTAAAAGAAGAATCAGAACAAAAAATGAAGTCAGTTTTTCTCTCACACAACACAACCAAACGTAGAATCGATGATATAGCTGCAGACAGAAAAATAAAAATTATAAACAAAGTAAAGTTGTCACCATTTTTTGCTATAAGTTGCGATGAATCTACAGACATCGTTAACTGTGCACAATTAATCGTTTATGTTCGTTACGTCGACAGAGATTAAATTAAAGATATTTTGTACTCACAATCTTTGACAGCTGGTACTACATCTGACGATATATTTAATTCAATATCTGAATTTATACAAAAAAATGATTTTGATTGGAACAAGCTCATTAGACTCTGCACAGATGGTGCCTCCGCTATGATAGGTGTAAGATCTGGCTTAGCTCAAAAGCTAAAGGAAAAGAATCCCACCCTGGTTAGCACACATTGTGTTATTCATCGCCAAGCTTTAGCCTCAAAAACATTGCCTCAGAATTTACGCCAGAGTTTAGACTTGGCAATAAAAAATGTGAACTATATTAAAAGCAGTGCTTTGAACAGTCGATTATTTACATTACTTTGCGAGGATCTTGATTCTGATCATAAAGTTCTTCCTTTCCACACAGAAGTACGCTGGTTGTCTAAGGGCAACATGTTAGCACGACTGTATGAGCTGAAAGAATAGGTCATCCTATTTCTCGATTTTAAAGAAGAAAAAAAAAACGACTGCAAATGTTCAAAGATGAAAAATGTCAATGGAGATTTGCCTATTTGAGTGATGTATTTGAAGCCTTGAATCAATTAAATTTGAAGCTTCAGGGAAAAAACGGAACTATGATTAGTTGCTACGATCATATTCAGGGCTTTATATCAAGGCTTTAACTTTGGTCCCAAAAAGTAATTTCTGGAAGTGTAATATGTTTTCCTCGACTACAGGGAACGATTAAAAATTAAAGACTGGACGAAGACGTTAAAACTGATATAGCAGCTCATTTGAAAACGGTAAAACACGAATTTCAACGATATTATAGCGACATTAATTTGGAATCACCAATATGGCATATGACTAGAAATCTATTTGTGGTCGATGTCTTACAATTACCAGAAGATATTTAGGAATAATTTCTAGAAATGAAGGCTGATTCTAACATGAAAGATGACTTCCACCTCTTGACATTGGAGAAGTTTTGGATAAAACGTTTCCTCCTTAATCCAAAAGTTGCTTCTCATGCTTTGCAAATAATTGTGAAACAGGTTTTTCAGCTCTGGTTCAAATCAAAACTAAGCAGCGAAATCGTCTTGCCGTCCATAGCGACTTGACGATTGCCCTGGCAAAAACTACAGCCGACATCAACCAACTGGTTCAGAACATGCAGGCGCAAATATCGCATTAACAAAATTTTATTATTTAATTTTTATTGAGAAATATCTAATTATTTTTAAGAGTGAACACCAAAGTTTGAATTTATATTTTAGTTGTTATTGAAAAATAAATGTAGTAAGACTGATGTTTTTATTATAACAATAAAAAAATTATAAGGGGACATGAATATATTTTTATAATCTAGAAAGGCACAACACAAAAAAAGTTGGGAATCAATATAGAAAAATATTTTGGACTGATGCTTTCAAGCGGTAGAGAAAGATGTCTTAGGGTCATGGTACGGAAAAGAAAACCAAGAGCAACTAGCCAGCTGGAGAGCTATTTCCTAGTCTAGGTACTTACCTGAAATAACCATGTCTATATATTTCATCTTATAGAGAGCTTCATAGTTCCACTTTCCCTTACATTCTTGAAAAGCTTCTACAATTTCTTCTCTTAATCTATTTTGAATTTCTGGATGAAGAGCTAATTCGTATGCCGTAAAAGTAATTAGTGACGATACTGATTCGAAACCAGCAAAAAAGAATATTAATGCTTGCGCAATAATGTCATTATTTGTGATTCCTAAAAAATTATTAAATTAATTACAATAATGATTATAACGGGTCATCAACAAAAATCATAATTAAAGTTGACTGTAAAGTTTAAAAAATCTACATATTCGTTGTGTTTTAACCAAATGTGAGCCTTTCTAAAAACGTTTGCATAAGTTTCCTAATTTTAAATACAAAAGGACAGGTCGACATATTAGGAAGCAGAATTTTAATACATGTTAAAATGGAGAGGGACGTTTAAATAAGTTCTCCAAAGATATCCGCAGCTTCCGCGATATGGATGGAACATTCTTGTCTGATTTTATAAGATTTTTATATGTGCCCTTTAGGTTCAAATAAAGCACAGCCTACGCCATTAGATGATTTAGACGCATTTTCAAAATTACTTAAAATAGAGTGTAATATATTGCTACTTATAAAAATCTTTTCTTGATAGTTTGGTTTAATAAAGCAAATATCTGAATAAAACTTAAAAAATCATTAATATCAAGGAGATGGGTTTTCTTATACAATATTCAACATACACATTGCTTTTTTTTTTCAACCGGTGTAATTTATGGCATCGTGTGCGCCACCCTCCGATTCATCCTCTTAATCTAAGTCGTTCAACGTATTTTCCTCTTCGACGATACTTCGATAGAAATACAAATAATAACAAAACTTAGAGTGGAGAAATCTTGAATTTGTTGTAAAACTTCGAAAAGTATTTACACGACATTCTGTATAGAATCTTAGAAAATTTGCTGATTTTTGTTTTAATGAATATCTAGTAGTTTAAAATGGGAGGATTCCCCTTTTTTTCTTAAAACGACTGTATCTTATTGTTGCACACATTTAAATCTCTATATATTCGAGAGAAACAAAATATCACGAAGTATTCCCAGTTGCGCGCTTATAAATACAATTTTTCGGTTTGATCTTAAGTAGATCTATCCGCTTCCACTTACCAAACAATATTTACTGATATTTTAACTATAGGCGGATTTTTGCTAATGAATCCAAATTATTCAAAAACTTACCATTTTCTCCCTTTTGATTTTGTCCATTTTTAGCCTCCATTAAAAGATGTATCATATCTGGGCGCATAATTCCCTTTTCTTCTCGAAGTTTCAGATTATTTTCAATAAGGTCAGTGAAAAACTGACGTGGTGGGTTTTCATACATCTTTACTTTGAAATACTGAAAAATAATAAAAGGGACCAAAAGAGGTTAACGGCTGTATATTGTGCGTGTCGTGTCAGCAAAGAAAACTTGTATTTGGTGCAATATTTTTTTCAAAACAACAAAGCGCTTTCGACCATTAGGCCTTTTGTCAAGCAGAGGATATCCTCTAATATCGGTTGTTATCGTTTTTTCCATAATGAAATATTGCGGAATCCTACTTTGTTAAATAAATCACCATATTTAATGTTAATGTTAAAATTTTTCTAAATATCTTTAAATTTTTGTCAATGAAGGCAAGGTCGTCCTTACACATATTTGTTATATTTGCAAGGACCACTTTGCCTTGACTAAAGAAAATAGTTAACGATTTATTAAATATGGGGATTTAGCAACCGATATTAGTGAATATCTTTTGCTTGAAAATAAGCTCTGATGATGATTTATTGCCTTCCGAAGGTGCTTTGATATTTTAATAAAAATATTGCACATTTATTTTGCTTAAAAATAAAATATTAAGTATATATATTATTATAGTAAGTACTAAGGTCATAATGATTTTTTTTAGTTTCTTGAAATCGATACTAAAAGTGAAGAATGTTTCAAAAATTTAATTGATTCTGGTCTGGTAAGAGACAGTCTTTAATTGATTTCTAGAATTAAAAATGGATAGACTAACATTAAAAGCCGAGTCTTAAATTTGATTGTCAAGACTGTCATTTTGTAGCTTTAGGAAAAAGCAGCACAACAAAACCAAGCACTTTTTACATAAAGCATTTGCTATTATAATTCCAAGCACCATCTTTACTTTCGGATAGCGATAGTGGCAGTATGGGAGATGTTGAAGAAACAGAGGAAGATCTCCCGCGAGTCTGATTAGTTATTTTTTAATTGTAAACAACGGATATTGATCATAAATAGTGTTTTATTTAATTATTTTCAAAAAAAAAGTCAAAATAATTTAAAGCGGTTTTATCATACAAATAATCCCTATGTCATATGTTTGCCTTAGATACCTTATTTTTTGTCAAAGACTATTCAAAAAATCAAGTTAAAATAATTTTAAATAAATGTGTGAAAAAATATTTTTAAAACTATCACTGTAGACCTATCTTGGATATAAAAATATGATACAGAACTGGAGCAACAATGTTGCTTTCTAAATGAAATAATTTCGAAATATTAAAATTTTTTGAAATCATAGGAATGCAAAAAATGTATTTCAAATGTAAATTTATTTTTATTGTACAAATATACATGGAAAAATGTCATTTTTAATTTGAAAGACGATATTATTATTAATATCGCTTCTTTTTTTCTTTTATTGCGCTAGAAAATCAATTAGTCAATTAGATAGTCAATTCAGAATAGTATGGAACTGTATGTACTCTAAAAATAAACAAGGGTTTAACAGAAAATACGAAATATTCGAGGTATCATGAAAATCTCCGTTTGTTTTATCTACAACATTAACATGATAGGAAAATTCAACGACAATCAAATTAAATCTAGATCAATAATTGCTGAATTTGTATTACTAATAAAAAATAACAAAATATTCTTCGAGGAAAACGTTGATAAAAGAGGATATTCACATTAATGAAAATCTAACTAGTAAACCTTACAAATTGTTACAAGCTGCAAAACAAAAATTTTGCAGGTAAACTGTGTGGTCTTCAAATGAAAGAATTCTGTTTAGATCCGACAACAATGTGAAAAGTAATTGAAGCATTGAAGATTTAGATTAGTCTATAATGTAGGTATCCTTCGCAACCACAGAAAGTTAACAAATTTCTAATTTGTTTTTGAATATCTTGCCATTAAAGGCTATCATACATTTATTCATTGTCAACCCAAAAATATGTTGATAAAACGATTTTGATTTTGGATTAACGGTTAAATTTTTGTTTTTAATAAAAAATAATTTTTTGTTTACTTGCTTAATTTTATCTACATTTAGGTGTTTACTTAGGTATTTTGTTAAGTACTGTAAATATTCTAAGACATAGTATTTTCGTAAATTAATAAAAAAAATTATATTTTCTCTTTTTTACATTATTCCTAATCATTAAATTAAACATACGGAATTTTGCTTGATTACTTATATTATAATCTATATACATTTTATAAGCTCAAGGTATACATATTTCATTTCAGATAAAGTTAACGTGTACAATCAATGTTTTTAAGAATTATTTAAATTATGATTTTGATGGATGATGCACAGAAAAAAAGATGTACTATATTCAAGATGAATGGTCTTATTTCAATGCTTTGTTGTATTTGTATATCCGCAAGTAAAACTCGTCTCGATTTGAAATTCTAGTAATACTTGTTCAACAATAGCTAATAAGCCTTGCTTCAAGATTAGAATCAACTTGCCCTAACCAAAATACCTCTAATTAAATGAAGTGTATCTATTGCTCAATTGCAGTATTATGTACATCTTAAATGAAATAGTCTTACACTTGTTTTAACTATACTTCATTTATATTCAATAATACCTTGTTCTTAAATCTAAAACAACTAAATTTGTTACAATAATAATATGATCTTTGACAAAATGTGAAGAAGGTATCAATATTCTACGTGTTGTCTCCAGACAAAAATGGGGCGCTGATAACAATATTTCCTTACTTTTTTATAAATCATACATTCGTTCAATTTTGGATTATGGGTGTACTCTGTATGGTGCATCATCTAAAACAAATTTACTGGTAATCGTTCGTATTCAGTATAAATCTATAAAAAAATGTCTAGGCGTGATGATCTATAGAACATTTAACACGAATTTGGTCACCAAAATTTCAAATATAAACACTAGTAACCTTACCTTTCCGTACTGGCGGATAAAAAATTCGCCTCCTTTAGCTGATGCCTTTACTGATATCAGTCTCTGCATAAAATACATTATTAATAGTAACCTCCTTCCTACATATAAATATGACTATAAAGTATTAATATTTAAGCCAATATTTATTTTTCCAACATATACTGATTTACCTAGCCTAAACAAAATACTCTTAAAATCCGTACTGAGCAGGATGGGTACAAACTCCATACACATTTTTACAGATGGGTCCAAGGATGACGGTGGGACAGGAGCAGCATTTCTTGTTTCCAATATAAATTATATTCAAAAGATCAGTATACCTCATCTGTTTTCAATTTTCACAGCAGAAGCTGTAGCCATTAATAGGGTTCTCACTGATACCTATCCACCGATAAACATTTTTCAAAATTGTTTTTAGTTATTATACCAAATTCCTCTGAGGTGTCCCACCTATAATTAAAAAAAAAATAATTTTATAACTTCAAAACCAAAATACTAAGATAAAGAGGTCGTATCTACAGAATGAATAGTTTTAGTAAATGTGGGTAGGTAGATAAGTACGTCCCTCTAGACTTCGCAAATAAATTTTGCATATTTTACTAATCTTTTCTTACAATTATAGTAAATTTTTTTTTGCAAATAGGCCTTTATTATTTTGTGTTATAATAAAATATAAGCTTAATAAATTTGTAAGAATCTTGAAATCAGAATTTTCATAAATACGATCTCTTGTCTTAGCAAGGCAGAAATCGTCTTTCCAAAAAGTCGTCATCCAGCATCATACATTTTTTTTACTTCTATTCCAATTTGTTTCATGTTCTTATGATTATAAATTTACTTATATATAATAATACCTAACAAGAAGTGAAATAAATATACTTACATTTAAATATTGGTATCAGGTCGCTGAGGCTCCATTCATTTAACAAATGTTCCATTTCAATTTAATTTATTCATACACTTATTAATTGAATCACAAAGAATTTCTAACAAAAAATAAAACGTAACGCTAACGATACGATTCAAACATGTTAGAAAATGGACAATAGGATGAACACGTGCTAATGCCGATTTGCCAGATAAATGCGTTGTGTCTCTGACTTCCGAATAATAAGTATCACATCTCAACATGTGCCAGTCGTATTAGTGCAGTGGTTGCATTTTAAAATAAGTTTCAGCTGGCAACACCGTGCAGTGAATTTGTACTAGCTAATCTTTTGTGAAGTACATAGGTTTTTGATTCGAATTGTTTAATTCTTGTTCTGAAATTTAAATGCTTTGAGTCAAATCCTTTTATAACGAATCAAGTACGCAATAGTCGGTTTTAAGAGCATATCATACTTATAATAAACATAAGAGCTTTCTTGGATTAATTGCCAAATAAACGAAAAAATACATACACACTGGCACTAAAGACTAAAGCATCTGGTTAAAGAGTGCAATAAAATACTTTACGAAGAGTATTTGCTGATTTTGACAAAGCAATTCAGCAAAGTGTTACTGAGTTTTGGAGTGATGTTTCATTGAAGGGCTGCCGATTCGATTTGGGACAGTCTTGGTAAGTACTTATATTTGACATTAAATATTTTGCAAATTTTAGATGAAATAAATAAAAAAAATCCACATATACCACACTGGGCAATGTCTTGTTCTTCTAAAAAAGTTACATTTTCGCTTAAAGTGACTTCATTTGGGGAATTTAAATTCCAACATAAACTATTCATAAAAATTATGCAATTTCAATGTGAATATTTATTTTTTCCAGGTGGCGCAAAATTCAAGCACCAGGCTTATCATCCTTATACAAGGACAAAGACAGCGATGTGGGTAATTATTTAACGTACTGCTTTGCAATACCATTTCTCAACCCAGAAGATGTGGAAGATTGTTTTTTTAAAGATTTATCTTCAATAGAACTACAGAATCCCAGAGTAGTGGAATTTGCGGACTATCTGGTCGATAATTATAAATCAGAATCGGCGAATATGGGCGAAGAGCAGTATGCAATGGACGACGCATGCATGCAAGAGCTCTCATGCAAGGTTTAACTCATCATTTTATTTTGCCCATCCACATATATTTCAATTTGTAACCGTTTTAATAGATTTCCAAAGTGACACTTATATAAAAATTAGAAGCATTCAAAAAATGTAAAAAAAAGTTTATTCTTCACAAACTTTAAAAA